CATCCCATCCCATCCCATCCCATCCCATCCCATCCATCCCATCTCTCTCCACCACCCTCTCACTCTTCTCCCCTCTGTCCCCTCTGCCCATCCCCTCCTCCATGTCCCACCTCCCCATATCCCCTTTCCCTGTCCCCATCCCCTGCCCTCCACCCTCCTACTCGCCCCCTCACCTGCCCCCCCTCGCCCACCCCGTCCTACCCCCTGTCCCCCCTCACCCTCATTCCCCTTCCTAATCCTCTCCAAACCGTCCCACCCTCCCATATCCCCCTTCCCTCCCTGTCCCCCTTTCCCACCCCTCTCCCGGTGCCCCCTGACCCATCCCTGTGCCCCCCAGGCATACCTGGCCCGCCAGTCCCGGGGGGGCACCTACTGGATCGGGCTGTCGGCCACGGGCCCGGGGGGCTCCTGGCGCTGGGTGGACGGGACCCCCTACTCCCCCTCCAACAGGTGAGTGGGTTTGGGCTCCGGGGGGGTCACACCCGGCCCCCCCCCCGCTGACCCCCTGTCCCCCCCCATCCCCGCAGCTTCTGGGCCGTGGGGCAGCCGGACGGCACCGACCACGGGCAGTGGGGGGGCGAGGACTGTGCCCAGATCCACCCGGTGGGCAACGGGCTCTGGAACGACCACAACTGCAACTTCAGCTTCCCCTGGATCTGCGAGAGGGACCTGCGGGCACCCTGAGCCCGAGGGCGGCTGGGGGGGCATGGCCGGACACACCCCCCGTGTCTGAGCGGGGTGAGATGGGGGGCTCAGCACCCCCCACCCCGGGGGGGAACCCCTCCATCCAGGGGGGGAACCTTCCCATCCAGGGGGGTGATCCCCTCCATCCAGGGGGGCTCAGCATCCCCCACCCCGGGGGAAAACCCCTCCATCCAGGGGGTGATCCCCTCCATCCAGGGGGGCTCAGCACCCCCACCCCGGGGGGATCCCCTCCATCCAGGGGGGCTCAGCACCTTCACCCAGGGGGGAATCCTTCCCACCCAGGGGGTGATCCCCTCCATCCAGGGGGGCTCAGTACCCCCACCCAGGAGGGGGATATTTCCCACCCAGGGGGGTGATCCCCTCCATCCAGGGGGGTTATCCTTCCACACCCAGGGGAGTTATCCTTCCCATCCAGGGGGGTCAACACCCCCACCCAGGGGAGTTATCCTTCCCATCCAGGGGGCTGAGCTCCTTCCTCCAGGGGGATCATCCCACTCCCTCCAGGGACCA